AGAGAGAGAGCAAGATGAGTGTGAGGAGAGAGAAGAGTGAGAGAGATTAGAGTGGAGAGAGAGTGAGAGAGTGAGAGAGAGTGAGAGTGAGAGTGAGAGTGAGAGTGAGAGTGGAGTGAGAGTGAGAGTGAGAGTGAGAGTGAGAGAGTGAGAGAGAGAGAGAGAGAGAGAGAGAGAGAGAGAGAGAGAGAGAGAGAGAGAGAGAGAGAGAGAGAGAGAGAGAGAGAGAGAGAGAGAGAGAGAGAGAGAGAGTGTCAGAGTCTTGTTATCATGGTCAGCTAAATTTTATAATCAAGAACTATTGGAATCTACTGTGAATGATCATGTGGCCTCCATGTTACGTTCCCAGACATCACTGACTGATAAATTCAGTTGCATGAAGAAAATAGCCTTGGTATTACCATCAGCATTTGGATCTACATACCAATGTGAACCAGATGTTTTCACACATGCAGCATACCCTTAAGCCCCCATCGCAGTGGATCACTCTGAGGGTTGTATGAAGTTCAGTGCATCCAGATATCAATATTGTGAGTATAAATCTAAAATTATAAATCATATACATTTTTTGCTACAGAGAATACTAAATGCTATATTTATGTTATGCACATGCAGGAAAATACATCTGGGTATACAGTGCTGGCATGCAAGGTTATGAATAAGAAGGCATTAATTATAAACTGGCACATTATGCTCAAAAGGTTGCCGACCCCTGAACTAGGGTCTTCCAAATTGTTTAGTTTTTTCAAAATATCCTTTACTAAAAAAAATAATAAACAATAATATACACTCATATCAACAACTAAAATCTGTCTGTGTTGTAATCAAAGGAACCATTTATACATATTAATCTTACATTAAACAACTATGGCATAGAAACTGCTAACCCCAATAATAGCTCCTGTGAATTGCACTGAAGAAATTGACCTATTTTATATGTGTACAAAATACCTTTCTAATGGAAACCCTTATATTTGGGTTCTTATATTTAGAAACTAATGAAAATCTGATGTTTTAGGAACTGTTTCCGATAAGCTTCCTATGACATCTATGATATCTATAAGAAAAATTGTTCTGATAATGCAACCAAAGTAGGATATATAATTTCTACTCCCTATTACACAAGTATTGTGTTTTCCAAACCAAGAGAAGTTATATATAACTGTCACTAAGCACTTGTTATTACAAATATGTTACATCAATTTCATCTGTGACAAGTTTTAAAACTAGCATGATTACCTGTACACTGTAAGATTAGTCTCAGATAAGTTGAATATTCCAAATTTCTCTTTTCCACACAAAGATTTCCTAGCCTTGCCATTGACTGTAAAAGTCAAAAGAATTAGCAAATGCTTGAGCAGTTACTGCATATGCAAGATGCAATTAGACACCTTAAATGTTGACTTCAGTTCGCCGAAATAAGTGAAAAAACATATAGCAGGTACAGTTCGGCTATGCAATAAGACCTAATTAAACTAAAATATTACAACTGCATATCACTTTTAACTACACACAAAGCAATTGAAAAACAATATTGGAAAAGATAAGATAAGTAACTGATAAAGGCATAATGCCAATTAAAGTTTTCTGGGCAAGGCCACAGAATCACTCATAGACCATCTAGTCTAACACTAAATGTTTTCCCCTTCAACTGATTCAAGAAATATTTACTTAAAAAAAAAAAAACTCAGAAAAGCCATGTTTGTCCAGTCAAATAAATACACACATATCACTCAGATTCATATGTACCCATACCAGCTGTTTAAATACTTATCAGATTTATGGTTCATTCTCTGTAACAGTACATTATGATATCTAAGAAAATACAGACACCTCTATGGATGGAACAAACAATAATGGACTATACACTTTCAAACCAAGAATATGTTGTAAAATATTGTAAAAAATATATATATACATACATAAACATACTTCTATTTTCAAGTAAGTACATTCTTCAGTATATGTCAATTTTCAGGTTATATGTTATGTTTAGATTATACGGATATGTACAGTATATATGTAAATGTAAACACAGATAGTCAGACACAGAAAGCCATATACAAACACAATTACCCTCACTTCCCTTACATGCCTTCAAGCAAACCCAAGCAGACATACATGCCCATGCCCCATACTCCTGCACACATATATGTATATGCTGCATCCATGCATGCACACACACACAAACACCTGCATCCACACATACCTCATGAGTTTATGAACGAAAAGTGGAACATAACAATAAAATGATTTCTTCAAGAGTTCTGAATAATACTGGCTTAATATTTATTAGGCTGTGAAATAGCCCATGTGCCTTTTATTATTTCAAACTGAATATATCTATAATATCTAAAACATATAATTATGCACTGATGTACAATTAATATAATTTTACACTTGTTTATGCAATATCAACAACAAAGGTAAATAACAGAATAATGATATTCTCCATCATCAACTTATAAAGAGCTTTCTAAAGGAAAGAAAAAGAAGGAAGGTTCAAATTTCTTTCATAAAAATCCTAAATCACATTTTGCACTTGTAAACACATCTGCAACTTAGATTTTGCCAACATGAAAAATGTCTTATATGATAGCATACCCTTCTCATACTCGCAAATAATTCAGTACTGCCCACCTAACTGACAAGCAGACAGACAAACAAAATGGTAAAGATAATCAACCTTCATTGCCATATTAGCCCATTTGTTTCAATCTCCTTTGCATATCACAGTAATTTTCAAAATGGTACATTTCTGGTTAAACTTGCATGATAATGATGAGCTGAACTTTATGCCTTTGCAAATCTATAGCTTAACCCACTGGCTGCGGATGGCATCATATGATGCACCGTGCAATTGACAGCTGATGCCCTTCGAGCAGCGGGCGGCCGCGCGGCATGGGAGCTGAGTGGGCCAGGGAATATCAGCCGCCAAGCCGGCATTCCCCTTGCGGCCTTACAGGGCCCAGGCCCACCACCCCCGGGCCCACGTGTGCGATGGGCTGTTTACCGCCAAATGAGTTGTTCGCCTATTGCGCGTGCTAAAACCACGCCCGCCACTCTTTCTGAGCGCATTTACATATGTTTGCATGTTTGCATGTATTTGCAAGGGTTTTTGCAATTTTTTGCAGATTTTTGCATACTTATTTTTTCTGAGATATAAGTAAACAAAATATTTGCGCGAAAGAGGGAAGGCAGCACCACTGCGCGCGTACACTCCAGTGCGGTCCCATGCACCACCCGAGTTGAAAATAAATAAAATTAGGGGATTACGCGCCATATTGCATAATACCGCGACCAATGGGTTAAGTTTAAAAAGAAATGTATTACATTAAAGGCATATGCAAAGGTCTTATCAATCATTTCTACTTGATGTTCAATAAAATTAACAAAAGTATTTATCTTTAAATTTCATTATGAGCACTGGAAGATTTCATTAGCTGATGGATAAAAAATAAGTGTTATTGTCCTGAGTTATAGCAGAATCATCAATCAGTGACAACAAATATTTCATATGCACTTAACTTAAATGAAAAGGCTTTATACTTATCATAAAATAATTATCCACTAGTCTTGGCACTGAGTATAATCTATATCACACATGTCAAATGACCATAATATTGTGACTCAAACAGTAGCACAGATGTTTGCACAAAGTAAAAGAAAAAAATCTTGACTTGCATCTTGCTGTAGTAGCCATGGCCAACAAAGGCTTTAAGTTCTACCATACAGGAATAATGGCATAAGAGCATAAATTGCCTGACTATTACAAGCTAGCTAATCATCCCTTCCTTGTGACCATCTACCTAAGCACAACTCCTTTCTCCATTTCTGGCTTATTGCTCATTCTATAAGCAATGCTTACTCCAATCAAGGGAAACACTGTCTTAACTTACCAATATCAATATACAAGAATTATTATTTATACATTTTCCATTTTGATATATATTACAACATAAACTTTACCAATCTGCTTTTAAACTACATGTAAATATATCATTATAAAATTCTCTTCAATTACACAAAAAAAATTGCTTGTGTCTTGTTTCACATCATCTTAATAAAAAATACATTTCCTATATCTCTACTTAAAATGTCATTAACACTCCGATTTCATTCCCATAGGGAAAAGTGAACTTAGGTATACAGAGAACTCTTGATAAACTAGGTGAAAGATTAGATAACCATTCTAATTAAAGGTTCATATGACCATTCAATGTAAGCTTCTTTTATGAAAATATTCATATTCAGCCTTTCACCTATAATTCATACTTCTGTCACAGACATGACTACATAAAGTACAACCAAGTCTAATGATAAATGCCCTGATTATATTGTAACGCTGAAATGAAAAGATATGTTCCTCATACTTGAAGTGTAACTGATAATGAAACTAACTTACTAATAAGGTAAAAATCAGATTAAAAATGCTTTGGTTTCACTGCATCACAATACAACATTCAGAAAACAATCAACATGCTTCTCAAAGTGAAAAAACAATCATATTATATGTAAACTTTCAAGAGGTACACTATTATGCCTTGAGTGGAGTACCTCTGAAAGCCCAATCCAAACACACCTCATCCTTTTCTCGGAAACTGATCGCTGCCAGTCGTTCAGAACCCACAGCAATGTCACATCTTAAGCGCAAGATGATTTTTTCATGCTGAGGTTGTGGTCCTGTAACTGCATCACAGGTATCATTCACATACCTCTACCGAAGGTGTCTTGGGGAAGCTGCCATATTTCCCTCCACTTGCTGGAAAGTTACAACTGAATGTGAATAGAAGAGGCATTGAGCATATGCAATGGTGTTTAATAGTTGTAAAGATTTTATCATGACAATATAAATATCTAAACATTTGACCAAATATCTTTTTTGTTTATGTTATGTGCTACAATAGTTGATCAGTTTCCCTAATTTCAGGAATTAATAACAATTTTTCCATCTATGATAATACTCAGGCTTCAAAGTCCTGTTACATATTCACGTATTCCATTACAGTTTTAGAGAGTATAGTTTTGAAAAATATACAACTGGCAAACAATACTGATTTCATGGCTATTGATCTGTTATTAGTTAGCAAACAAAAATTAATAACATATCTATGCCTTTACTGACATGCCTATCTAAGGCCTATATAACAGTACTGCATAATAATCACTGTTTATATATGGTTCTGAGAAGCAGTAACTTATCTCAACTTGGATTTCAACCTTCTTTTGCCACCAACTAAGGATAAACAATAAATATTATATGCATGAGAAAATATTGCTAATCCAAATATTGCTCATTACTTTCAGAAGTTTTCACAGTCATGGTAGTGCAGTAGCACTTCTCCACTTTGTTTTGCACGGTGATTTTCTATCAATTACTTTGATGTAGATATCACTCTTCATGGACAAAAACACTTGCTATTATTTCAATGGCCCTTTGGTCAGTTAATGTCTCTTAATGTTACTAGAATTTCAGCAGTTAAAAAAAATATATATTTCTAGCCTAAAGTGCTATAACAATTATATATGCTTGGTCCAATATATATATAAGCTTACAGATAAGACCAAATTTATAATTGAAACAAACTTAAAATGCCAGTTATCTTAGCAGGTATACTTCATCATAACACAAACTTCAAAACAGAACAATCATTAAAATTTGTTTGATAGCAGACATGAGACATCACAACCAACAATATGGATATTCTTAAAAAAGCATCCAGCATCTAGCTGTGGCGGCTGACCTGTAATTGCCTGTCATCATCATCATCTTCAATGAGAGGATCTGCTGATATAAGGAGCTGTTCCCTCCCTGTGCTGGGGAGAAGACTTCTCCCTCCACTGCGCTTACGGCGTGAAAATACCTTTGCAATCTGTGCAAATTTCTTCCTTGAGGCTGGAAAAAGAAAGAACCATAAGCAAAGACCAGGCATTTCCTTGTGGCACTAAATGCTTATTTGCATGTTTATTAGAGTATATAAGCACATCAGTTTCATTCAACAAGACATTATATATTTGGGTAAAACAGATTTTCATGTACATGCAATATAATCTTCATCTAAGTTGTTTAATTGTTATGTGTCTATATCTCATCATACGTAATCAGCAAAGCAAAAATAAGTGAGTGTGGATAAGGGAATCCCATAAAATGGACACTGCATATGTCCTAAGCTCACTCACCTTTACCCATTGTAGCAATTCTCTCTCTGAGCGTAGCATCATCAAGGTGGGCTAACTGCCCCTTGACTTCTGTTCCATCCACTTCCTCATCGTCTGCTGCTTCGGACTGATAATCTGCAGCGGAGAAGTAAGTCGTCACTTCAGAACACAGCTATACCGAATCACCTCCAGTCCCTTCCCCCGATTCACAAGAAAACCAAAGACACTCTCCACACTGACCTTCTTGCAGCGCCGTCATGAATTCCCGATTGGTCCTTAACTCGTTGATGAACTCGTCATTCTGGAGGAAGAGGGCGATGCGTTCGTCCTTGAGATACTGAGCCAGCTCCGCGTCGCTCTCGCCCACCGCCTCCCGGGCCAGGGCGTTCTCGTTCAGGCGCTGACTCAGCCGCTGCGGCGACAGCACCCCGACGCCCTGCGGAGGCGAAACGGACAGTCAGCTCCCGGGACGCAGGCGTGTACGAAACCACCGCTGTGCATGTGCGTGTGTGTGTTCTTGTGTGTGTGTGTGTGTGTGTGTGTGTGTGTGTGTGTGTGTGTGTGTGTGTGTGTGTGTGTGTGTGTGTGTGTGTGTTGTGTGTGTGTGTGTGTGTGTGTGTGTGTGTGTGTGTGTGCGTGTGCCGTGGTGCGTGTGCGTGTGCGTCGTGCGTGTGTTGTGTGCTAGTGCGTGCGTGTGCGTGTGCGTGTTGCGTGTGCGTCGTGAGTGCGTGTGGTGTGTGTGCGTGTGAGTGTGTGTGCGTGTGGTGTCGTGTGTGTGCGTGTGTGTGTGTGTGTGTGTGTGTGTGTGTGTGTGTTGTGTGTGTGTGTGTGTGTGTGTGTGTGTGTGTGTGTGTGTGTGTGTGTGTGTGTGTGTGTTGTGTTGTGTGTGTGTGTGTGTGTGGTGTGTGTACATTTTTTTATAGTAAAACTGCATCTTTCTACCATCTATATGTTTAAAATACTATACTTAAAACAAAAGTTATTAACCCCCATTATGCAAAGCAAAAAGGGAAACTATTTTCTATCCAAAGCATCCTAATTTTATAAAGAAATATTTGACGTCCAATTAGATTTCAGAGGACGTCTAACCGAAAAGGGACACCCACTTTTTTTCTTTTTAACAATACATTTGCCAAATAAATTTAATGTCTGGTATAACTTTCAATTATCTATATATACTCACTGTAAAGAAAAGAAAAGAAAAAAAAAACAATATAAATCATGCCATTATACACTTTTCTCTTTGTACAGCGAATCAGAAGGTAATTCAGATACTTCGAACGTTCACCCAAACACTCTGTAGGTGAAAGCGCCGCTACAAGGCAGAAGAGAATCACCTGGTCCGAGTTGTAGGTGAGCCTACACTCCTCGTCCTCGCTGTCAGACACATAGGTGGTGGGCTTGTAGGGATGGTGACCCAGGTGGTCCAGAGGGTCGCTGTGACAATCCTGCTGATAATTGGCCCTTATCACCGATTTCTGGCGCTTGATCCAGCGCTTCCTGGCCCTGGCCGCGTGAGCCTTGTCGATGCGGTAACGGAACCTCGCCTTGGCCTGCACCACCCACGACCGCAGCCACACGCCCACTGTTTCCAGACACATGCTCTCCTGCTGTCCCTGCGACTGGGGCTGTCAGCCCAACCTGCGCTGTGCTGCTGAGGCTGCGCGTGCGCGGCGGTGAGCTGCAAGTTCTGCGCTTTTCGAGTGAGCGGTCTGCGCGCTGTGGGTCAGTCCTCGCGAGTCGCTCGCACGTTTGAGGAGTTTCGGGCCACACCGACTATCAGGACAGTCGTTGCCGAATGTTTCTCAATGCTAGTTCTCTAAAATATTTTTTTGCTCACAAAATAGTTTAAAGATCTTATTTTCTGCGTTCTTTTCTTCTGAAATATGGATTTAAAACAATATATCACTGAGCAGAGATGTCACATAATATAAAAAATACTTCCCAACTTAACAATTTTCCAACTCAAAGAAGGTAAATATTCCCGATTTCACGGCACTTCTCTATCAAGGAATTCCGCTGGCACCAGGCGCTGGACGCCCTCGGCGCTATTTCAGCCTCTTCTGCTGCACTAAAGCTGATAGGATCATGCTCTACCGCGCGCGCGCGCGTGTTTAGGTGTGTATGTGTGTTTGGACAGAGGGAGAGATATGAACGATTCTTTTAAGTTTCATTTAAATGTAAAGTAAATAAATAAGTTTTTTTATTTACATTAAAAATGAAAAGGCTCATTTTCAGTTTAAAAATCTCAGTCCAATAAATAAAAAAACGAAAAAAGTTTTTCCATATAGAAAATTACGAGGCCATACCGTTAGGGTTATTATCAAATGATGATGATATCGATAATAATAAATGATTATGTGAATGATAAAATCGTGAGTATAACCAATTAATATATAAAAAAAACGAATTTTGGACAACGGTATATCCAAGAAAAAATGGCCGGCGCCCCTTCGCAAGCGCCGGAATGTTCGAGAATCCCTTTTGACACCAACGGTTATCGCCGACCACTTCAACCACTTCAATAAGGTTTGGAAAATTCCGCGCCGCCCTGGATGCAGCCGCAGCGCCCCCGAGGCTCGGATAAATTCCAGGCTTCCCCGAATGGAAGCCAATCTCGAAAATGAAATGCGAGAGACCCATACGTGAGCGGGTTGGACTTGCGGGGGAAGGAGGAAGGGGGCTGCTCCTGGTGGATCCTTGCGGGAGGCTGCGCTGTGCTGCTTATTAGAATGGTTTGTGTGGCTATGCGATGCAGATACTGTAGGGACACGGTCGTTTAAAAGTATGGTACTAGGAGCAAAATTCAGAGGTGGGCAAGCGGTACTTTGAAGTACCATCGATAAGGCATCTATAGTGGTTGAAAAGTTATACCAACGGCTTTATTATGTGTTCAATATACTGCCAGAAGGTGTACTGTCGGGTAATCAGTGTGATTACTTTTTAAGGAAGTTCCCATTTACATTAGCTGATACATTTCTATTTTTTTCTTCTCCTTTTTGCAATATCATATATTATAGTTATAATATTTAATGCCGCTCTCGGACTTCAGCAGGGTATATTAATTATTACACTACAGTAGGCTGACAGCTTGAAAACTGTCATTCGGTCCGCAAGCAGCTACTACGTGCAAAGCGGCTTAAAAACAACCGCCAGCACCTTTACCGCTTTGTTTCAGAGCATCTGCATCAAAAGTTCCAGGAGTGGTATTTACGGTAATGTTGCCAGTGCAATTCCCCGTCTTTGGTAATAATCATAAACAAAATGAAAGATAACGACAACCGTGGTTCACAATACTGGCAGAAATTTCATCAGACTCACTCGCCTGGATGTCCTTTTATTCGACAGCATCGACAGTCATCAGCAACAGATCTGGCAAAACTATCTGCTACGAGTTTACAAAAACATCATTTCATCGCAGCGCTCTTAACAGGATTTGAGTCTCCATCCCTCCCTTTTCATCCCCCCCTCTCCTCCTCCTCCCTCACCCTCTCCTTCCCGTCTCACTGCAACACCTCCGCCAGCAGCAGCAGCAGCAGAAGCAGAGGCCGGGCATACCAGAATAAAATCAATGGCGGTGTCGGGCACGGGTGCAGGAGGATATTTTCAGAGGTTCCTCTACAGATCAGGCCGGATGACACATTCCCAATTTAATTAGTGTAACTTCCTGATTTAAGGAAGTGCTGACAGTGTGTCTATGGTTACCGCGAATCATGATGCAAAGCTATCGGGCACATCACCGCATTAGCACAGCAGAAGCACGGCCTGTCGACTCGGGCATGCGGATTTTACACTAGCCTATCGTCACAATCTCGTACGACCTGCCATGGAGCATACAGACATAAAACACTTGCATTTATGGTGCATCAGGCCTCACTATCCATGTTTGGCACCTCATGCCCCAGCGCACGGGGGAGGGCAGTGGGTATGCTCCGCCATCTATTTGTTATGGGTCACGTGTATCCTCCCCCAACCCCAAGCCGCCTGACCGGCCGCCACTTGAGATAACCGCCTCATTCCTGATAACCAACGGACAGAAGCAAGGGGCACCCTCGTAAGGCAGGGACGCTGCGATCGACGCATTTCAACAATTTTAAGTCAACCAGGAGGACAAGAACTAATGAGTCTGGGCTAAACAGTGAGACAGAATTTTTTTCATATGTGGAGTGGCTACCTAATAGAACTACAGCACTGCGTACTATATTTAACTACATTAAGGACTGCAAATTTACCATTATCTCAAATAAACACATTTAAGAATATGCCTCATAACAAATATATGCATCATAACAAATAAAGAAAAAACATAACCACCATATTTCTAAAATCAAACAATCGAGTCTACACATATGCGCACTTCTAATTTTATATGATTTTTTTTTCTTGGGCACTGTAACGAGTTCGACTAATTTAGTCGTTCCTCACCATCCTGGATAACTGCCCAGGAGCGGGAAATTGTAATGCGTTTGCTGGGTGGTCGAACATTACATTAAAAGCCCATTTTGTAACACACCATATAGAATATTCGCATAGCTCCCTAGGCCTCATGTAAGGTAAGAGGGCCAGAAAGACCATCAACTTGTAACACACGGCAAAAGTTACGTTTATTCTGCGTTAGCCGACATACAAGAAGAGCTGTATCAAAGCCTAAACCATCGCTATGGTCTGTTTAAAATCCGTAGATGAATTTTCCGGCGAAAGTTGGTGGTGGTAATTTAGGCAAGAGCTTTCATGGCTGGGGAATTTATCAAATTAGTTCAATTTTCTTTACAGAACGTTCTATTAATGCGTGATATCCCAGCAAGAACTATCCAGAAGTTTGTGTCTAAACTTTGCTTTGGTAAATCGCATTTATTCATATATAATTTTAACATATTTATAGCACTACTTTTTTTCAAGTGTGGATGTACGGCGACCGCAGAGTTTTCCCGCCCGTAGTAGGAAGATTTCGGTCGCGTAATCTGGCTTCAGAATAAAACTTATTCATTTAAGATTCGATAAGGTAATCTGAGGTCATTCGCCGCTAATTATTCTGTTTACCCCTCGCTGCGTGTCCGAACACCTGGGATTTCCCTCAACTCCCAGGACTTTACTTTTATTCTCCGTTCTCCCTCTGCCTCTCCTATGTCTCCACCGGTTCCTCCCAGCTTTTCAGAACTTCGGCGCGGGGAAACCGCACGCACCTTCATATTTCCGTTTAA